ACATATACATATACATATACATATACATATACATATACATATACATATACATACATACATACATACATACATACATACATACATACACACACACACACACACACACACACACATACTCAAACATAGTGTTCTTGTAAAGGCAGGCATATTGCTGACCTCTGACTTAAAAGATTTCTAAGAATATTGTATTGCTTTTACTCATTATTTAAGTATTTATGTGGTTCTCAGTTTTTTACATTATATAGGTAGTCTTTGACTTACAATGCCTTCTGAGCAAGTTACACAACTCCCTCCTTCTTTCCCCATTAGGAAGGATTTGAAAAGAACAATCTATTTCTTCAATCCATGCTTTGTGATTTTGCAAGGAACAAGCTATATTGCATTCACTGCACATATAGGGTGCTAAGGACTTTTTTCTTTCTGAAAGGATGTTGCAACTAATATTTTAAAACAGGAATAGCACATTTAGTGTTGATAAGTTGCATTTTTCTGATATTGGATAGGGATATTTTGTTTTTCTGACAAGTGTTTAGAGACTAGGAGAAAATAAAAAGTCAATTGCCTACATAAAATGCAAGTTGATTGCCTACAATAGAAATACAAGAGACTATATCAAAGGACAGATGAATTGAAATGCCTTTGGGCCTTGTAAATATTTTTGTGTATTTGTTTGATTTTTTTTCTACAGGAGCTCTGCATGAAAACCCTTGCATATCAAATTCTGTATTCTGTATTGATGCTCATTCAGTTTTATTTGTAAGTGATGCAAATTGAGAACATAGCCAAATACTGTCTTTTCTATGTGTTTATATTGTGAAGTTCCATGTTTATGTGAATTCTTTTCAAAGAATAATATTTTATAGTAAAAATATCAATCTTAGTGTTGTAAAAGTAGAGATACCAGACATATATCTTAAGAGGTAAATTGGCCTGTATCAAGAAATAAGCACATAAATTATTGCAACTTGATTAATTTTTATTTTGGTCTTCAACCAGCATAAAAAAATGTATGGGATTACTCACAAAGTACAAATTGTTAGTAGCATTTGAAAACAATCTAATCTAAATATAATATAACAATATTAATAAAACATACCTGTAATAATACCTTAATTCAACCCCCCCCACGAGATTGAATGTGTAAAGATACAAGCTTAGTATACTAAATACAGAAGGAAATTAAAATGAAAATTAATAGTATTAAACAATATAAGCCACGTGTGTCAAACTTGCAGCATCATATTACTGTCAGGTGACTTCGTGATGTTTTTTCCCCTTTGCAGAGCTGCGGTAGGTGTGTCCTGTGCATGACGTATCTGGCCCACGGCCCGCCAGTTTGATACCCCTGAGTCCTAAACTCTCCTGTTTTAATTTTTTAAAATACATATTCTGCATCAAATTTTGGTAATATACCTCTATATCCACTCCATCTTTTATAAAAATGGATGTGAAATGGGGGCAATACTGTATAGTCTGGAAAGCTTGTGAAAAGTTTAGGTGACTTTTACTATATGATTTTGTATCAAAGTAAAACTTACTCTGTACAATACTATATATACTGTAAGCCCAATGCTATGGAATTAACCTCTTTATCACATGGGTTCTTTTAATAAAATCTAACAATAATTAATACCACATACTTTAAGTTCATATCAATAAATGTAAATTGCTACATTTTCAGGTTTCCAAACTAGCTGGTGTTATGCTGAATCACGGTGTGAAGAAAGGAGATTGTGTTGTCATCTACATGCCAATGATACCACAGACAATGTACACTATGTTGGCTTGTGCAAGAATAGGAGCTATACATAGTCTTATTTTTGGTGGATTTGCTTCAAAAGAGCTTTCTAGTCGCATTGATCATGCCAAGGTAATAAACATGTCTTGTATTCTGAGAGGATGTGGCAGTTGTATGATAAATACTTTAAAAATGAACTTTTCTTTCACAGATCTCTCCCAGCTTAATTGTGTGAGAAGATCAGAACTGATGCCATTTACATTTATTTATATGTCACAAATAGGCAATACAGATTTTGTTACTCAGCCGTGAAAAAAAATGCTTACACTTGCTTTGGAATAATTTCATACCTACAAGTTGCACCTAAAAGAGCAACTTACTTATAAATAAGCTGATTTAGGCTTTAAGCAGAAGGATAGTATGTGCATTTTCAGTTCAGGCTATGTCTTGATTTTTCTGAATTCATGAGAACTTAGCAGGTAGCATGAATTTAGACAGAATTTAAACTTGGATAGCATGCTCCCTTAGCAGAAGCTTAACTGATCAATATAACATTTCAATCAGGAGTCCATTTTTTTTAGCATTGGACATGTTTGAACTATAGAGCGCATGCTGTGATAAAGCATAAAACATTGAAAAGATACTCTCTATTATTCCTACCACCTCCAGCTTTCATGTCTTCTTCACTCAAAACTATTCTAAAAAAGTCACCTGAGGCAAGAAGCCTATTAGATGCTAGATACTCTGACACATGTACACGCCATGTTGATTAATCCTGCTTTGGATGATGCTAGCTGGTTATTTTCTATACTTTTGTCATTACATTGGTTCGTTTTTAAAAAAAGTTATAATAGCATTGAATGATGGATTTTGTCAGTAATGTTGTTAATAAGATTTCCTTTGATCTTCTAGCAATTAGTTTATTAAAGATAGTTCCTCCATGTGTTCACTACGTATGAATTTGGATGTCATGATCATAGGCCATAGATAATTTGTTTCTTATCTTTTTTACAGGTAATATTCATCAATTACAGTGTTGAAAAGAAAGAATTCCAACTGCTTCTGCACTAGTGCTTGCCTGCTTTGCAGATGATTATGTTGTGGCTAAATCTTGTTTTTCTCTAGACTATCAGTATTCTGAAAGTATAGTTTAAAGGTAGGAGTAAAAGTGAATGCATTTTTTTCAGATTCCGGAGAGGATGATTTGTTTGAGTGTTAGCTGCAGAACAAAATTAAACTTGGTTTCTTCATATTGTTATTTTTTGTTTTTTCTAATCCTGTGAAATGTTGGAAAGAAAGGATGTAAAAAGGCTCAGGGCTTTTTCTGTTTACCCATCACAGGATAACTTTCCCAAATCAGAACAAGGTTGAATGTTATGTGGGGAAGAAGCCAGAAAACTGATGGACCAGATTTGGTTAGGAGTTGTTGAGGAAAATAATATTCTCCCATCTTGTTAACACTTCTGGATAGTTTCTTGGAATGTTGCCAACTGTTCCATTCTAAATCCTCCTTCCTTATTACATGACCGAAAGTACAATATATGCTGCATTTCTATGTGCAGACTTGCAAAGACAGTGTTGTAGTTTGAAGGGAAATGCAGAGATACAAGCAATATACAATTACCCAGACTTAACATATACAGGCAACATGTCTGCATGCAACATTTTCACTGTAATAATAAATATTTTGGGAATCTTGCCATTTGTACAGGTTAAGTTAGTCTTTAATCTTTCAAACCTTTTGGACGAACCTAAAGAAAGACTCAGTGGTTGGTGAATTTCTGCATTAGAGGATATGCCTAATACCCTCACAAGTTTCAAATTGTGATTAATACGGCATTACAGATTGAACCATCTAATTTGATGTAATGAGCAAAACTCCTAGGTTAGGCAAAATATATACTGAGTTCAGTATCTACTATTTGCATAAGGCTAAGAATCACTCAGTTTCTTTAGTGTGTGGGTTGCACTAAATATTGGGGGAAAATAAAATTTTTTAATTTAAATTTAAAAACATATTTATGCCACAGGGTGATGAATCCAAGACTTGAAACAACTTGTAATTCTAAACATGAAAACAACTGATTCTTTTGTCTTGCTGCAAATGCACACACATCATTTTTCTACTTAAACAAGCACTTATGCATATAATTGTGGGGGAAAGATCCTGGGATTCTTCAATGCTGAGTGGATTCTTTGCTTGTGGAGAAGGAGGTATGACTTGAGTTTGTTTATGCACATACATATGCATGTATATGTATGTATGTACAGTATATGTACATTCATACATATATATGTATGTATAATATACTCTCTTTTTTTTAGCCCAAACTGGTTGTAACATCCACATTTGGAATAGAACCTGGAAGAAAAGTGGAATATGTGCCACTTCTAGAGAAAGCCTTGGAGATGATCAGTCATCAACCAGAAAGAGTTCTGATTTATAGCCGCCCTAATATGGTAATTATAGCAACCAGGCTTATGTTCTTTATTGCTCTAGTCTTTTAAATCATATTTCCCTAAATAGCTTAATTGCAATTTCTAATTTCATTGGATTCTGGCATTTCATCATGTTAGTCTGATGGTCCTGTTCTTTTACAGCCTTGAAATACATTTATATGTGCTATTATATCCACTAAAATTCTTGCATGAAGAAGATTTTATTATTAGTTTTATTCTTTTCTCTGTGCGTGTGCCCAAATGTGCTTTTACAAGATCTAATGTTAGTACCTTGTATACAGGGAGCTGTTCCTCTTAAGCCAGGACGTGATTTGGACTGGAATGAAGAAGTGGCCAAAGCAAAGCCATGTGACGCTGTTCCTGTACATTCAGATCATCCACTTTATATTCTTTATACATCAGGAACTACTGGTACACCCAAGGTAAGTCTCTATTTCAATGAAAATACTTATAAACAAGTTAAGTTCTACTCTAGATCAGGCAATAGTTAATTAAAGTTAATTTCATTAAAACCGTTTTTTCTCCCCTCTTTAGTTTTCCCTAGTTTTGATGTTCAAATTCTGTTCATCCTTCTAACTGATTTGGCACAAATTTGTTTCTGTATGAAGTGAGGGATAAGATTAAAGGCCTGAGTTTGTCTATATTGGTGGCATATGATCAAAATCAGTGGAATATTACAATGTATGTAAAGAAGTAGCAACAAAAGTTTAAAAATTCCCATAAGAACAACAGGAGAGATCATAGCAATGCAGCCACCTTCTGTAACAGAGATGAAAATGAAGAATGGAAAGGTACATTTAGCTGTAAATCTAAGAGATAGAAAATGGTTATGCAACATAACAAGCATAGGCATTTTTCCAAAGATATTTCCTAGTTGCCTAAAAAGATGTAGGCAGGCACCAGATGACGTCTAAAATTCATTTGTTATTTTATGATATATTCAGTCCAGGGTGAAATTAGCAAGTTCTGACAGGTTCTAGAAAATTAGTAGAGGAAATTTTGAGTAGTTCAGAGAACTGGCAAATACCACCTCTGGCTGGCCCCAGAGTGGGGTGGGAATGGAGATTTTGCAGTATCTCTCCCCTGGAGTGGGGTGATAATGGAGATTTTGCAATATCATTCCCCTGCCATGCCCACCAAGCCACGCCCACAGAACCAGTAGTAAAAAAATTGATTCAGTCTTGATGTAAATGGGTTGTTTGGGAAAAGATAGGAGGCAAGGAGGAATAGGCTGAGTTTTTCAAACTTATTAGGCTAGAGCTTTTTCAACATTTGAGACTGGGGAAGGAAGAATGCATTCCTTTTTTCTTTTCCTGGCTCAATTACTTCAGTTCTTATTCTAGCTATTGTTGAAATACACCTTGGTAGATATTGTTGCTGTTCAACCTGTTCCAGAATCATCTCCCCCTTTGTGAACATTGCTGCCTTTTTGTGGGGGGGGGAGATGTCTTCTGCCCCTCTATACTTGCCCTTCAACTAGCCCATCCCTTTCTGTTAAGGGGCAATGTGAGGCTCCCAGAGCAGTTATAAACACGCAACGGAATGTGGTGAAACTAGCCAGCTGCAGACTCAGATCTGTGATTGAACTGGGCCAGTCAGTCACTGAGTTGCCTCTGAAGATTTGTAAGGGTGGTTGGGTAATGGCAGGCAAGATTGTCCAAAATTGCAGGGAAGTCCAGTTTTTTTAAAGCTAGAGTTCAACCTGTGCCTAAGCAAGAGTGACCTGGTCTTCTCCAATGTTGTTCTGTGTTAGATCTATTAATTAAACCATTGGAGCAGTTTCTCCGGCCGTGGGAGGAGCTGGTAAGCCAGCAGTGCTAAGCTATGGGTGGGCTCTTTGAAGTTAGAAGGTTATATGTGGGTTGGAAGCAACAGCTGCCTCATTGCACTGAATTGCATTCCTTTTCTGCCTCATATGCACACACTAAATTGAACAATGATTTGAACCATAAAATGTCCCTCTAAAAGATGTTTTCATCAATAAAATACCAGAAATAGTTACTATGCCAGTTCAAAAGTGTGGATTTTCCAGCCTGTACCATTTCCACATAGAAATGGTATGGATTAGAAAATGGAAGCTATAAACCTCCAAAATACTAACTGTATTTTGTAGCGATTCAACTGAGAACATCTTGTTTTCTTTCAGTTACATGAAGTTCTTCCTACATCTATTCCTGATCCCAAAAGGGATGGGAATCCTGTGACTTTCCACATGTTATTAAACTATATATCCATTTATTATGCCCTTGTTAAAGTTCAGAAGTATCTGGAAGACTGCAGAATATTCACCATGCTTTTAAAAATGCATTTGGATTAGCCGAACTGCAGAATCTCAATTTTTCTCCTACCATGGTAGAATTACACATTCCCCATATTTCATATAAGAACTAGATTCTGAATAAAGAACAAATTTATGTATTTTGTAACCTATGCTTAGAATTCTGAAAGCTTTTAGGATTAAGGAGAGGAATAGTAATTTCCTGTAAGTGTTCATTTAATTCTAATTAATTATTTAAATATCAAATTTCTTTCATTCAGGGTGTTGTCAGACCAACAGGTGGCTATGCAGTCATGCTAAATTGGACCATGTCAGCTGTATATGGACTTAAGCCTAAAGAGGTAATTTCAGTTTATATAATATGTTTCAATTAAGAAAATCTGTGCCTTTATTGTAATTACATTTTATATCTCATTCTTAGGTCTGGTGGGCTGCATCTGATTTAGGCTGGGTGGTTGGTCATTCTTACATTTGCTATGGACCTCTTCTGCATGGGAATACAACAGTTTTATATGAGGTGAATATTTTTTAATTTTTAATTATTTAACTCATTTGAGTTGCTCTTCAGCAAACAGTAAATAGACACATACAATTCTGTTAATTAATGTGTGATCACTATTACTACTTTTAGTAATAGTGCTTTTCACCAGTCTCATATAGAATGTCTGGTTATGAGGTGATTAGGAAGGCTCTGTCTTCCTTGAGAAACATAATTTGTAGAGCCCTCTCATCTGTTTAGCAGCTTAGGTTAGCCTAAGAAAATAATAGTTTCCTGCTATGTAAGCAAGCTCCAGCGAGCCTGACGTTGGCATGTTCCACATCTCTATGTACTAGAGGTGAAGATTGGAAGCTTTTTCCTTTGATTTTAAAATAAATTACTTTTTCCACATTATATGTCATCTGGAGACCTATATTTTATTCAGCTTCTAAGTAGTGAGTTTTAAAAACACCTTTTAAAAACAGTACATGTTGTGCGATTTTCTTTGATAATGTATGTATTTTTATCATGATTATCTTTGTGCTTTTTTTCCTGTTATTTTAAAAATAATAAACTAAACAAACATCTAGGTTATGAGAACAAATCAATTTCATATACATTCTCTCTCTCCCTCTCTCTTTCCCTCCCCCTCATCTCATCATTTTTATTCTGGTTCCATCATGAGATAAGACTGGTCAGCAAGCTGTTCAATATTAGCAAATAACCAATTCGTAAACTTACCATCACTAGTAATTTTGACAAAATGAGAGTGGCTTGGATGCACAGGCTGCTCTTCTGCATCTTAAAGCCTTTGTTAGAAGGCTGAACTAAGATTATATAGAAACACTTGCAATATGTGGGAGAACTGGGATGTTGTGGGTACCAGGCAAGCATTCCCCAGTAGAATATTTCAGCAGTGGGCCTCACAGCCTTAAAGGCTCTGTGACTTATAGCCAATTGCTTTACTCCATTGTGGTAACAGGGAAAAATCTTACTAAAGATTCCTGCAAGGCCCAGGCAGGTTAATAAGATAGTGACTTTTCTTGAAACTATTAGCACCAAGTTGTTGAGGAATTAAAAAAGTTAATTTGGAAACAAAAAGTATACCCAATGTCTGAGCCACTGAGATAGTATTATATAGGTAAAAGGAACAAAAAAACTCACTCACGGAAAGAGGAGAACTCATTGCTCCCCAACTCAGGTGTTCATTATCATCCAATCCACTATGGTCTTCACTTGCAAAAAACAAGGTCTAGTCTGCATTGACTAAAAGCCTCATACCTGGGCTTAAAAACTGTACAGAATTATGAACATAAATCAACCAAAACATGAGAGAATGAATAAGTGAGGACTCTTGAGTTGAGCTCAATTTTGATAATTTTCATAGATACTTGCATGAAGTTTTCTTGATAACAATTTGGAAGAAGTTTAGTTTGGGGTATAGGTCTGGGATTCCCAAATAGTGATATCTAGGCTTGAATCTGCTTGAAACCCAAAGAAGGTCAGCCTGGTTTTGTACCTGCTGAGATGTGTATGCAATGTGTTAATAATTACCTGGTAACAATTCAATGCAGTACTTGCAAGACATGTTTTTTTGTTCCTCGGTAATTTATTCAGTGCATCACCAGACAGCCTTGACATGCTAATGTGGGTGCATATGAATAATTTTCTCATGTTCGTATAAATGCATTTTAATCATTGTTTCAGCATTCTGCTGACAAGTTGATGTCATGTTGCAATGAGCCTTAAACTGTGAAAGAATTATACAATACTTTTTACCTAATTATACTTTTAAAACTAATCTCCTTATAGGGAAAACCTGTAGGAACTCCAGATGCAGGTGCTTTTTTCCGTGTGCTGTCAGAATATGGAGTAGTGGCTCTTTTTACTGCACCAACTGCAATTAGAGCAATACGTCAACAGGACCCCGAGGCTGTCCTGGGGAAACGGTACAATTTGACAAGGTGAATTTTGGTCTCTTTGCTTATCCTATTTGCAGATGATGCAAAATTGGGTATGATGGCAAAGCCCTAGAAAACAGAAATAACATTAAAATGCACCTTGATTGGACAAATGGCTTTAATAAGCTCAACAAACTAGGACAGCAAGAACAACACTCTCTGAATGTGGCTTTGATCTCATTAAACTTGTTTTGTATTTATTCTGAATATTTCCTCCGTGGCAGATGCACTTCTAATCTCATTTCTTTCATTCGGGAATCTATTTGAAAGATATTGTCAGATAACATCAGTTACCTGATACCTTAATTCTCTTTGTCTTTAGAAAATATCACCTTCTAAAACAATTGCCACTTCTCATTATTGTTAGGCCTATTCATATTATTTAATTCCTGAACTCTGCCATATTAGAATTTGTTGGTGAAAAAATGTTGTTTTGTATACTTTTACCTTCACACTAGATAGAACTGGATGATGAACTGGAGTGAACTTGTATTTTTAATTGAACAGAGAAGTAATGATCTTCTGCGATAATCCCCTTTGCTGTTGTGCTGTTTTGGCACAGTGCCTGGTTCTGAGTATATATATAAACTTTTAGTTATGTAAAGAAGAAAAAGTGTACTACTTGCATTAACCAAACAAAAGCTAGGCAATATTACACAGAGACAAGAATCACTTGAGGTAACAGTTACATAGTTCACTGGGAATGTAAAGCTTGCCTAGAGATAGTAGTTCATCTTCTCAATAGGCTGAGCACTCTCCTAAGCAGCACATTTCAAAAGCACAATGCCCGCTTAAAGTGATCCCATAATAAAAATACAGCCACAAGCTCCTTTTGCAAAAATCTTGTGTCATTCTTCTCTTGGTTGCTTGATCACCCCTGGATCTTCCTCTTTGGCCAGTTCAAATCCTGTTTGCCTCTGAACTCTGGAAGTGAGAGTCACCAGCCCCAATCCTTCCTCCCCCCAAATCGACTAAACAATTTCCTTGCTTGACAGCCTGAAACTTGGCAGCTTCTAGCTTCCCCTCACTGCTTGATTGTCCTAACTAATCTGAATCTCATGCACTTAACCACAACATTATGTGGCTGCAAGGAGTTGTGAGCCCTTTGAGATTGGTCTAGAAGCAGTACAAAGACTACAGGCAGGGATGTCCAAACTTGGGAACTTTAAGACTTGTGGACTTCAACTCCCAGAATGGCTGGCTGGGGAATTCTGGGAGTTGAAGTCCACAAGTCTTAAAGTTCCCAAGTTTGGACACCCCTGACTACAGGAATGCCACATTATTGTTGGATGGTAAACCTAGGGAGTGCCCTTTTGCCCCCTAGTATACCAGACATAATTAAGGGGGAATTATTTCAAGTTTGTTTCTTATGCTTTATTTAATTTCCCAGGACACACTCTTACTATTGATTAACTGTTACTGCATATTTTCCTCAAAATTATCTCAGCACATTTCTAAAGGAATGGAGTCCCAGCAGGGTGCAGTACTGCAAGAAGATAAACATTGTCCCTTGTTCCCTTTATCTCCCCAGGCTGCCTCTTACAATCATTTCTTTTTACTACCTCTTGTTCTTCAAGATAAATTCCTTCTGCTCCTCTATTTTGTCTTTATAGGTCTGTGTATATGTGTCTATCTTTCACATGCACAACAGCATTTTCTTCTTAATGAACAAATCTAACCTTTGGTTCTTCTCTCTTTATTTCTTTTAATCTCTCCATTCTGAAAAGTCACCTGTTCTATTTTTCTTCTGGATGTCATGCTTTCAAGCAAGAAGTCTTTTATCACTTCTACATACATTAGTATCTGATGCAGTGGTGGGTTTCAAATTTTTTTAAAACCTCTTCTGTAGATGTGGCCTGCTTTGTGGGAGTGTCTTGCTGGCCATGTGACTGGGTGGGAGTGGCTTGGAAGTCATGTGACTGGGTGGGCCTGGCGAATTTGTAAAATGTGAAACTCACTTAACAACGCCCTTGCTTAGCAACCAAAATGTTGGTTCAGAAACTCTGGCATTTGAAGCATGCAAGTCTTAAAGCTGTCAAGTGACAAGACCCTTGCACCCCTAATTCTTTAGAAAAAAAACCCAGGGGTGTTCAAACTTGACAGCTTTAAGACTTGTGAACTTCAACTCCCAGAATTCCTCCTCCAGTCATGTTGGCTCAGGAACTCTGGCATTGAAGTGCGCAAGTCTTAAAGCTGTCAAGTTACAAAACCCTTGCACCCCTAACCCTTTAGAAAAAAACCCCAGGGGTGTTCAAACATGACAGCTTTAAGACTTGTGGACTTCAACTCCCAGAATTCCTCCTCTCGCTCTTCATCTTGATGATGTGCGGACTGGCAGGGGGGAGGAGCTGAAACCGGTTCTAAACGGCACTATAGATTTGTGGAGCCTCTTCTGTAGAAGAGGTTAGAACTGGCAGGAACCCACCCCTGATCTGATGGTTCTATTGCCTTTGATTCCAACTTCTAGCCACTACAGACTTTTTAAATCAGATCTCTAGCACTCATGTTAATTTCTTTACCCTTCCTTCAAAACCTATACACATTTGCATAAATGTACTTATTATCCAGCTCTATTGTAAGTCAGTACCACTGTAATTGTAACAGTTGTAGTAACAGAACCCTGCAAGTTTGAATCCTTCCTTTATCTTTGTGCTATCTAGGAAGGCACTGGTATAAGCCATTTACTCATTTTATATATTGGCTGAGACTTGAACCCCTCTTAACTGACTACTGCATTGGTCGCAGCTCTTCTTCATCCTCTTCAGGGCCATTCTTTTTGCTCTCTACATCTACACAAGAAATTTCCTTCATCTAACAATGTACTGCGTGTGTGTAATGATAGAAGAATCTTGTTTCAGCAGCACATGCCATCAGCTACTTGAAAATTATGTATGTTTGCTGTGCAAAAGGGAAATGTAGTAATCCTTGAATGAACAACGAACAATCAATCCAGGTTACAGACAATATACTAAAATAAATGTTTTTGTCTCAAATGTCACAGGTTCTTTTGCTGCAGTAAACTAACATGATCACCTATTTGGAAATCCTTGTAAGATAGAGAATCTGAGGCTCTAGGGGTTATAAGCCATCCTTAAAAATCATATTTATGAAATTAGAAATTTCCCAAAGTTGTTACAAATCATACTTCTTAAAGTGACAGGAGGATAATTGATATGAATTGATAGTAAATACATTCATTGTAATTATTTTTCATTACCTGAAAATGTGAATATAAAGAAGTCAACTTGAGTTTTTATCCTGCCCTCCCTGCTGGTGCAGCATTCAAATATAAAATGTAAAAAAAAAAAGAAATATCCCTGCTTTATAACTCTTCTGTAATTAGGAAACAATATTATACATAACTGCATCTATCATTATATGTTTACATTTCTTAGTAGGAAAGTAATGTTGAAAAAATCCTATTTAATGTAGGTTTCGAACGTTATTTGTAGCTGGTGAACGCTGTGATGTGGATACATTAGAATGGTGCAAACAAATTTTCAAGGTACCAGTTTTGGATCATTGGTGGCAAACTGGTGAGTTGATTATACCTGTCTGAAAACAAATCCACATAAGCAGTTTTACCTCTTTTCTGATTGAAGTTTGTATTTCAGATTAGTTCACATGTGTGGCACCTTAAATTTTTTCATTAATTTGGAATCCTTTTTATAGCTTCTGTACTGTCTTCCTACTTTATTTTGCTTTCTTTTACTATATCTGTATTTTTTATTGTTTTGAACTATTGTGTTTATGTAAGAATCATGAATTAATGGAATACTACCGTGTTTCCACGAAAATAAGACAGGGTTTTTTTTTTTTTGCCCCCCCCCCCCCAAATAAGCACATGGCCTTATTTTCAGAGGGGTCTTATTATTTTTGAGGTGCAGGAGGCGGCGAGCGTGGTCACTTCATGGCTGCTGCTGTGTTGCAATATTTTCAGGGAGGGCTTATTTTTTGGGAAACAGGATATTGTCTTGGGAAAACAAAAGACTGCTATGCACTTATTATTTTTCTTATATGTATATAAAATGGGAAGGAACAGAGTTGAAATTCACCAGTAGGAAAACTCCAGCTATGTAAAAATTACATATAGTAGAATTTTTTTTTACTCTCAAATCAGATGTAAGCAAGCAAGATTTGTACATAAACCACACCCTCAAAACTGTTAGCAAATGTTGGGAGAAAATAGCTACCATTTGCAATCTGATAGGTATTTGGAAAAAAGATAAGAGTTTTAAATGGGGAGAGCACTGACCTTGGAGAAAGTTTGTCTGAAAAATGAGTCTTCTGATGCTGGTTACATCCCATCTATCTAACCCCACTCATCAGTACCCATTTGGATTGTTTGAGGAGTTGCAGAGAGCAAATTCACCATTCTTTGCCTTTAGTCCCAATATTGCCATGAGGTTGAACACAGGGAGAACATAGAAGTGATGCAGTTTTTCTCATGGATTGAGTCATAAATACTTCTTGAATAGCTTTGTTGTCATAGCTATTTTCATAGTCCATCCTGAAAGACATGGAGGCTAGACAGCCATTGCTGCAGCTGTTCTTTTGCTTCATTCTGGAAAGGCCAGCTCAAATTGGGAAAAAAAACCTGTCAACCAAACTCCAGCCATGTGTTTACTAATGATTTATCTATCTTCACTGGCTAGAGTGTTGATTTAACAGTAATGAACAGAAGCTTTATGTTGTCATGTTGATGATAGGCGATGCTGGAATATGTTGTAACTCACCACTGAGAAATGACTACTGAGAGTCTCTTGTGAGATTGGCTTCATGGAGATGTTGCTGTAACCACAAACAAACAATCTGGATGAAACTGAGTAGCAGCTGAAGTGCCAGTTACGTCTATAATGGGCTGGGTGGAGTCCCTCTGCTCCATCCAGTTATTCTTAGCTTATAAAATAAGATTGGAAGTGGTTCAAAATTGCTCTCAGGGCAGAAATACCCAGACCATCCCAGACTCATGGCTGTCCAATCTTTGTTTGAAAACTTCCAATGATGGACCACCTATGATTCCAGAAAAGAGGCTACGTCACTGTTTAATAGCTGTCATGATCAAGAAATTCATCCTGGTTTTAAGTTTAAATCTCTCTAAAGCTTTCACCCCTTGGTCCTTGTCCTGGTCCTCAGGCACTAAAGAAAATGAATCCACATCCTCTTAAATAGATGAGCCACAACAACTGTCTCTAGAGCCATTTAAAATATCAAATGATCCCAACAAATAGGTATTATATTCTCTATATTTCCTCAATACATTAAAGATTTTCCTTCCCTTCAGTTAAGTCAAAGCTTTCTTACTGCTGTGCCCATTATTATTGGTAACTGTAACTTATTTTTATAGCATTCCTCAATGTACTATTAGCAGACAGAGGACAGTTGAAATGCTATTTATTAAAGCCCACGTATCTGAAGGAGCTGCAGCTGACATTGAGATGTGAACAAGAATGTATAACAAATGGCAGAACTGAGGATTGTTCTCATAGAGCCTAGAACATGAGAGGCAGATTTATGTGTAGTCTCACTAAGTGGAGGATTAAGTGAGATTACACATAATTAAGTAGAGATGTTTAAGAATTTGAACTAATTAAGTAGAGATTAATTAGTATAAATTCTGAAATGTAGCAGATAGTGGGGAATAGCGAAGTCAAAGTGATGTTCAGGTTGGGAGTCAATCATTGTACAAATTGAATAAAACTGAATTTATAAAATAAAGGCAAATAATACATACGTGCCTTATTATCATGTTCCATGCAGAAGAAATAAAAGACATTTAGTTAACATATCTGGTAATAGTACTCAGGTTAGTATGCCAACTTTAATCCCACTTTAAAAATAAAAGTGATGAAAAGGTTTTGCTAAATATAGAATTAAAGGAGAAATTATGGAAATCATAGGGTTGGGTGGTTTTTGTTTCTCAATTGCCCAAAGAAGGCAGCATTTATTCAGTGAGAGAGGACAGGCCTTTGAAAACAGTACTACTATTGTCTTCATTTTCTTTCCTTTCTTCTGAAATTTTTAATAGTGATGATACAAATCTTATCTTTGAATCATCATTTACTTGAACCAGCTTTTCAAAATGCCGTCAAAATTAGAAAGATATATGTTCCCGCCCCACCCCAATTTCAATACCTCTGTTGGTAGCCCAGCTTTATCCCTCTGAACGTATCCCCACATGCATTTTCTCTCATTTTTTCTAATTTTGGAACTGCATATGTATGGCATCTCACTTTCTTCTGAAATTGTATGTGTTAAGCTAGCACAAATCCAGTGTTTTTTTTCCAGGCTCCTTCCTTGCCTTACACAGTCCGTTACTGATTGCAGTAAAAGAAAGACTAATCTAAGTTCAGACATGGATCTAATCTGAAAGTAATTGTAAGGTGTGCTAAAGGAGAGAGCGATGGTGGGAAGTTTTTCCAATCTCATTTGCATAAATGAGAGAAGCTCTGACTGCCATTAGTTTTATATGTTTCTCTGAAAATGTTACAGGTTGCTGATGTCATTTCTGTTGCCTAGCAACGGCTTTCCCCCTGGTTCTGTGACTAGGGTCTTCATTAGGTAAGGTAGATATTTTTACTGATGGTTTGTGAATAGGGAACTGAGAGTTAAACTCCATGAATTTCTTTTATAGAAAGAATAATCCTTTGGTAGATTTAAGACAGACCTGATGGATCTTTTCCTGGGGAAAGAGTACAAAAGAGGTTATGAAACACTAATCCCTACTGTAGATGATTTTTCTCATATTTAAAAATAGCATCTGTCTGATATGTTCTCTTTTGTCTATGGTGGGCTACTGACATTAAAGCAGACATAACACATTTTTGGAAGCAGTTACATTATAAATGTTTAACACTGATCTATGAGATTCTTTTGTGTTAATCATCTGCGTCTTGTCCATTGAACATCAGTTGCTAAGTACCTTAAAGGTGGAAATGAGTAAGATGTTTTGATTCTATTCAAAATTGGAAAATATAAAGATTTTCATTAAAATGGTACGATGTGCTGGTACACAAGAGAGTAAAAAGTACTGACAATAGTCTTCAAGTTTTTTCTGCACTTTGTCTTAACAAGTTATGTCTGTTTATTTTCTTCTTTCCAAAATACAATTGCAATTGTGATCCTTATTGCTTTCTTCTCCCTTCTGTAGGATGTGCTATGAAATAAAAGTTTCTTTTTTAAATTGGGAAATTAAATAAGTAAAATAACCATTTCAGCTATCTAAATTTTAAGAGGTAAATAATTAATTGACACAACTCATTGTATGAAAAGCAAGACAAAATACTCTGATTGCCATTATTCCAATGGGTACATATTGTCCAGTTCAATTAATAGAAATATGGTTCCAGTTCATTAAAAATGATATTCTTAAATATTTTTTTAGATTAGCTACCATAGAGTCCGTAATATAGTCAACAGATATTCCTTTGGCTTGATGAAGTTTGGATGTTTTTAATCATTGAATATATATATATATATCCCTCTCAGAGAGGCGCGGGGGGGGGGCTTCATTTTCTACAGGCACTTAGAGACTTCATTAGCCTGCTGAGAAAGAAAGAAAAGGAGAGAGAGGGGGGGGGGGGGAGAGAGACTGAAATCTGTGTCCATGTGGCAAATCAAATGTGTTGCTATATATAATATATATAATCTTTAAAAAGCATTTGCTCTGTTCAGAACATCATGTCCTTTTTACAAGAAATCTTCATGTACACATTAGCTACAAGATGCTTAAAGAATTGTGTTAATACTTCGGCTGGTGGTCAGTCAGGAGCCAATAGGTTCTTTAAGATTCAGTAGGTTCAAACCGGGTTGAAATGGCCAAAGAGGATTTGATTGAATAAATAGAAAAAAGGGAATATAGAAAGATGTAACAATCTACATCCCTTCAATATGCCAGGAACTCTAGGAATGGCAATGATAGATGCTTTGGAACTGGCAGTTATGCAGGACTTTCCTGGGATTTTGGGTCAGGGTTCAAACTCTTTATGGGGTTTTAATAACTTTCTTAAGAGATGGGAAGTATAAGCAATAAAATATGGAGATGGCTTGGCAGCCCCTCTTGGTCCTAACTGGTGGAATCTTTGCCAAGAATATTTTCAAGGAAAAGCAGATTCTTAGCTGATAGCACTTTGGGCTGTCTGATTATGGGTTTCCTAATTACATATCTTGTCAATACTCTGAAAACCTGGCTGGACTTCATAAAAGCAGTTTTTAGTTATTGTTCCCTGTATTACTGGCAGATGTCTTCATTTAGGGATTAGATTAGGGAGCTGGCATTGTCCTCTTTATCATAATAGTTGTAATGGTACAAATATGGGGTAAACAAGATTGATTAACAAGAATGGAATTAGCAAAACATGCTGAATAACTTCTGAATTCATGCATGGGCGAATTTGTAACTCAAACTTTGCCAAGTTTTATACAAAGTCATTGGCTGGCCACAAAACTCTTTTTGCATAAGTATGTCTTATATGTTCAAAAAAGAAAAACTTGTCCACAACGCTAACTGTTCACCAATTTTGCACCAACAGTTGCA